CGACGTACGTGGTGTGCCAGCTCTTCTGGCTTTGTGATAAATACGCGCAAAAAAACGGAAAAAGAGCAGCAAATTTGTTTTACTTAAACGGTAATCTTACAGTCAGTTCATTTGTCACCTTTTGGCTCAAATAGTATCTGTACGCTGTGTCATTTACAAGCGTTGAAGCCAAAAATCTCGATTTTAAAACAGTACTTCCGAGTTACAGCACTAGCATGTGAATTTCCAAACCAAAAGACAAAACCATTCCCTCTTTATTTTTTCTCACTTTTAAGAGACGAAGACACCAGAAAATAGCCCAAGTGGATGCAAATGTCAACAGCAATGACACGCTGAACAAGAGTGTCATAGCAATCATCATTCGAAAATTGCTTAGAAACGTGCTGATGAACCGGTCTTACTTCTTGGCACAGGCCAGTACCAGTTTACCATCGAAAAGAACGAACAAAACGTGGAGAGACTGATTGTCTCAATGGCCGCGCCGAATATTAGACCTTGTGCACGATAAGAGTGTACTGCGCTACACCTGCCAAAGTCAAAAATAAATTTGCCTTTTGCCTACTTCAAAAGAGGGTAGGCAGGGCTAATCGGGCTCTATTTTTTTACCGCATCACTCCATGCCGTATAAGTTTGACATTTGTCTTCGACGCGGTTAAATTTCAGCCACTCAAATTACGGTTCAGCAACGGATCCCATCAAGGAAGATTTCCACTGTCACAGCGATGACGAAGTGCCACCCGCCACCGATCGGAGAGCAATTCGAGTACTTTGGGCATCTGTTCTCATCTGCCTGATTTTCATGCTATGCGAAATTATAGGTGGCTATTTGGCGCACTCACTTGCGATCGCTACAGACGCGGCGCACTTGGTATGTATAAAAATTTGGATGCCTGGAGAAATTATCAATATTTAATAAAATTTTACGCTCGCTTCCCTACTCAGCTCCTAATCCTTTTTTTTACAAGCAGCTACTACTATAATACTAGAAAGAAACCGATTATGCTCTATTTTTTTCCAAAATTTGTTATCTTTTTTGTGCATTTTGCTGCTTCTTTTCTCCTTTTCTTCCCCGTTTTCCTCAGTGAATAAGAAAGTTGTTGAAGTTCAGTGCTATAATTTTTTGATTTCAGCATAAAATTACTTGGTGTTTTTC